TATTCAAAAGTAAGGTGTGAGCAATTTCTTCGTGAGCAACTGATATTTGTACGTTTAATTTAATTGTCTCGTATCTGTATCTGGATTATGTCACCTTTTCCGATAGAGATGTTATATATAACGTGCACCACGTGATCCCGAATATGTGTCCTAAGATCCACGCGGGTTCGCTGCTCCCTTTCTGCTCGATTTTCCCCTCTATAATCATTTAGGATTTAGGAGTTTCCTCGGCAGAACGTTCGGAGGAACTTTCCTCCTCGCGGCGCGAACAAAAGACGGAAATTTGGCAAAAGAACCGGGGAAAACGGATTTTGACGTGACGATCTTTCGTCGTTGGCACAGTCGTGACCGATCGCGACGATTTTTCGACGAAAAACGCAAAAAGCGAGACGCTTTTCCACGAGTGTCGTACGAAAATACCACCGGATGTTAAACAAGATAACAATCGTCCGCTGTTACTCGTTCATTCACGCATCCCGCGAGAGCATTAAGAATTTATAGCCAACCATCTCGCGACGAGAGAGCAAAGGGCAGAAAGAAAGTCTTCTCACAGCCGAAAGGAAATAGCCGACGAGCACGAGAAAGGAAAATTTCACCAATCACGTGTAGCATGGATTTTTCCATATCGAGTTGCCCTCGATTTTTCTTACAGTTTTTCCTTCTTTCTCCATATTTTATAATATACATATACATATGCCTGCTCAATTAGCCGCATCGTACAATTTTTCTCCATGCTCAATCTCTAGCCAACATAATGATCTTCCTTTATTTTCTCGCATCTCAACTCCCTGCTAGTTTACATATATAGCCATTAGTTAGCGAGCGTAATTTAAAGTGAGCACCACGATTCTCTTTTTACTTCTCCTCACGATCGAACTGTATTATTCTTTCACCTCGCTGGTCGACTTTCTCTATCATGAACCGAACAACGATCTCTGTATATATACATACATACATACATACATGCATATATTTATATACATAGCTCGAAGGATCGGACGCCATTTCTACAGGAAGATCAAGCGTTCACCGAACAGCTCTTGCTCCTCGACTTCTACGCTTTTTAATTCACCTAACGATTACCTCCTCCTTCTCCCCCGAGCCACAACTATATTAATTCACGAGCCCAAGCCCACGATATGCCCAATATGGATTCGTTCCCAGTTCAGACCCAGGAGTGATCACGGGTCTCTCTCTACCTGTCTACCCTTTCTTCTCTGTCGATTTGTTTGTCTGTGTAACTGTGTGGCATTTTGTGCTGTGTTCTGTGCATGCCATCCCAGGACGCAGGCCGGACGGTCCCCGCCTTCGCCGCAACGTCGAAGGGCCGCGCAACCCTATGAGTATAAGTATTATAAATAAATATGTACACACACAAACACACACACACACACACAC